AAGAACTATTGAAAATGCTTAAATATTAAATTTAAAATAATAACGAGCTAATTCATCATAAAAATGTACACCAAGACTCCTGACGTATTCAAAAAACGTATAAGCAAATGTACTGCTTATTATCAGTCAGTATAGTCATTTTGACTTATCAGTTATTTAGTAAAGCCAGCACTCTCAAACAAAAGAAGGGATAAGACGCGTTAGCATAATAGATCTATCAAAAAAAATCAAGCAGATCTCTACGAAAACATCACTAGCATACTAGATCAATCAAAAAAATATAGAATACTCTATTTTCATCATTAGCATGAGGGAATAAACATTCACTCGACACAAAAGACTTTATTCGGCGGCTAACGGTGATATTTTGACAGAATTAAATCACAAGTACACGCTTGGGATGGTCTCTCTATTATGTTTCTACCAAAGTTTTCGTATCTAAAGAAATGAAATGCCAAGGAAGATCCATTGACATGGATATATTTGGCGAACGAGTAGGCAGGAAGTGCGCTAAGGAAGATGTGAAAAAACGAAGACAACTAAAACTTTAACGAATTTCTGCGGCAAATGATGCATTTCAGATTGGAATTTAAAACTTCTTTGATGAATGCATGTCATATTGCTAAGTGTGCTATAAAAAATGTAACAAACAAAACGGTTTTGTTCTGCTTCCTATTTTTAAGTAAGCATGTGATTTTACCCGTGTGAAAAGAGTTTCATCACGTGAATCTTTCAACTATAATAAAATTTTGCACTAAATCAATTTTACGATCACTAGAGTGCCTTATTGTTTTTTTTTCGTATGAGAAGGTGTATGCTACATATTTTCATCTTCTCCAGTAGTATCATCTAATATTTTGGCACGAATTAATTGCTCTGCCATAGTTTCTGGGAGCATCCTGTGAACAACCATGTCAAAGCAACTAATTCCGCCCCATTCACTGGTATGAGGGGAAACCTCCACGTACCAATGGTACGACTCATCCCACGTTGTCTGTACATTCGAAACAAACTCAAGCTTTTCTCGTTTCTTCTCATCCAATGAAGGAGGAGCCGTACGAACTACAATGTTATAATCAGGATCACCCAATCCGTGATAAATCATGTGAAGGCAGGAATGTAAACACTCGGAAAGCGCTTGTAATTCATCACTGGATTCTACCTCCAAAAAATTTGAAGAATGCCTCCTCGGCATAATCCAAATCTGAAACGCCCTGCCAAGATATACAAAGCATGAAACAAAAAAAGTAATAATCAAACCATTTTTGCATTTTGCTTAAACAGAAATGAATAAGAGCACAAAGACATGAAAATTCCGTTTTTCATATATAAGCATCCTCAGCAAAACAAACCACAGTTCTTAGTTACTATTAAGATTGACTTACATCATACAAAGTAAAAGAGAATCTCCACAAAAAGTACACAACCATAAGAAGGATGATGGAGCAAAAACGAAATTTACATAAGAGACCATCAACAATTCACCCACATAGGCCTATTTACGCATCTATAATCTATCAAAATTTTGCAAAACCATTGAACTTTGTTTTATAATTTTTATCCTGGTTACAATCCTCGAGCAGGCTCACAATAAAAGTCTCGGTTATATTTACTAGTAAACATAAGAATGGAGAGATTGCACCCTTCGATTTTCTGCAAACTTGGTTAGTGGTTGCACTATTGTAGTATGTATTATAATAAAAGCTAGACTATCAATTTGAATACGTACTTGACCTATGATCAAAGTTCTTACCTGGTAGCGGCATAAGGCACAAATGCAACAAAATGTCTATTCTGACAAACAATGCGCGTTCCATCCCCTTCTAAATCATAGAGCTCATCCTTAAGAATGCGACAAAAGACACACTCATTGTTAGTTTTATAGAATTGAGAAGAATGCTCCATTCTCTGCAACACATTCGTTGGGACTACTGGAAGCCCGACAACTTGAAAATGTGGATGATCTAATGATCCTATAAAAGCGGTTAAAAAAGGTGAACGCAGCAGAATAGCATGACACAAAAATAAAAGAATCAGATATGTTACATTTTCAGCAATTCCAGTAAAGCATTATATCGTGAATAAGCCAAGAATATCAGGAAGAGATCATTTTCAGTCATACGAAATCCTTAGCTATTGAATTTCCGTTAAATTCGTAATTCATCTTCTACTTCTCATTCTCTATACCACTCTGCAACATATACTTAACGCGAAAAGAAGAAAAGTAGCACGGCTATGAATTCCTTGCCATCTTTTAGAAAAGAATTTTACAAAAAACAATCCAAGTTCTACTGAAAAATTACTACCCGTTCACTCAATTAGTCACTATTTAACATTACGATGAAATATACGTCCCTTTCGTTTCTGAACCAAAAAATTCTCTAATAATAATAAGAAGAGTTCACTATAAAATCTTAGTTTGCAACAGGCAGCGAGGACTGCGCACTACGTTGCTGGAAAGAAAGTATATCATTAAGAGTATCCTCCATCAAAAAAATTCCATATCGATCAAAGAATTTCAGGTGATAAAGGCAAGAAAACCAATAATCTTTCATGAAACAGGATACACGATAAAGTATTTAAAGAGAGAAACTCCTCAATATACCTCCAGATTTTATGCCATGATTTTGGAATAAGGCAACATAGAGTATTCGCGGATCAGCAGCCGCTGCTCTCCCTCTCATCTGCAATACTTCCACACACGCATGGAGTTGCTCTTTAGACATCAGCGCTGGGCATGTATTATGAATAGGACTGAGTATGATGACCTAAATGAAGTTACAAAACAAAAAATGCATGAATACACTATATAGAAGTGCCCTCATCTTGAAAATTTTCTGTAATTTTTCTCAGATTTCACCATTCCTTAAACTTTGAAAAAGAACCATTCATATGGATGATGCATCCCATATACAATTCCTTATGAAAATTAAAATGAGAAAGAATTAATTTGACATACAATAAAGTGTTTAAGCACGTATCTTTTCTCTCCAATAAGTACCGAAATGATTAAAACTTAAAATAAAAAGATAAAATAAAATAACCAAACATTAATACAACTAGGCAACAAGAAAACCAAAAAAAATCATTTTGGAGATCTCCATTTAAAGATTCTTTGCTAAGATTAGAATGAAGGAGAAACCCAAACAAACCTCTTGTAATCCTGTTCCAGTAACTTGCAAATGATGGCCCCAAAATCCACAAACTACTTGTGGGACATTTCTAAGAAAGCAAAATTTATTGGGAACTACACGAATTTTCCAGCAGGAAACGTTCCCTCGAGCAGAGCGCACTTCATAGAGGGGTTCAGGACACCTAAGAAAGATTGCAGATATGGTAGAATAACACTAACAAGGCAAATCACAACTCAGAGAAAGAGGAAATGAAAAACGTTTCCTTCAAGGCAAATTTATTGCAGAACCTCATGTTGTCATCGATATTCTATACTAAGAAATGTAAAACCTAGTAATATTCACTAATTAGTATTCAGAATATATGAATAAAACTTTCTTCAAAAATTGCAAATTACAGTAGCATATTGAGATATTATGAGCAATAAGGCCATTCAACAAGAAATTTTCAGTGCATTTGCAAAAACAATTTGAAGTGTGTACTGATAGCATAAAAATAAATTATGAACTTGACATACTTCCATTCGTTCCCCGGACAAAACGGGCATTCCTCTTTCCATTTGGATCGCATAGATGTGACATCTGCCTCTGATTTTTCTTGCATTTTGTACGCCATTGGTTTCTGAAATTGTCCTTCTATAGCAAAAATTGACCACTGTCCCGTAGCAGTGCATTGACGAATAAATGTAGGTACACTGAGCGGAGGGCCATCGGTCCATAACTGCATTACAACACAAAATCAAGAATCGTCATTCCAGTAGCATAAGCACCCGGATACCCACTAATATTAAAACAATTTTTCCATCTACAGTTAACTAACTATACTTGGACCGCATAGTTCCTTGTTGCTCAAGGAAAAAGCTGTTTTCTGCTTCGTAGTGAAATCGCTTGACAGTCGAACAGGACAATAATCACCAATCGGATGTAGCTCACAGAAATTGCCATCCACGGAAGCGTAACTGTCCATTGTAGATATCCCACTTTCGTGTGAAAGCTTGGCTACAAGGCAACCGGCACCATCGCTGCCCTCCCCTGTCGTCATCCCCTTCGAATGATTATCTGCCGAAATAAATGGAAGGAAAGAATGAGAAGAGGGGATGATAGTGCCCAGCGGCTGAAAAGATTGAATCCTTGAAAATAGTGAATAACAGGGAACAACTGATGTACCAGGTGCTCGAGCAACGTATTTAGGTGGATGCCAACCGGTTAGGCAGGTAGGCGAAGTGGAGTTTCTCCTGCAAGGTGAGCCCTTTTTGCCTACATGGAGCAAACCCACTTTTTGAATCGTGCAAGCCGCTAAAACAGAAGGAAGTAACCGTAAAGAGGCTAAAGTGCGCTCTGCAACGGTATAGCAACTCAGAGTCATCACTGAAAAAAGTTTAACGGTGATGAAGCAGAATCATTGCACTACTTCACGAACAAGAATGAAAACCATTTAGTGAATACATTACAAAGCAAGAATTTTTTGACGAGGGATTTTATGTCAAAATTTTGATCGAAGATGACAAAGGCTACTACTATTCTATTCTGCTAAGTGCTCTAAACCATAGACTAGAATCATTTGATGTTCTACCGTGGGCACCCCCAGTAGAGCACAATGCTCTTCTTCTCCATAACTTCAAAAATACTATGGAATTATGCAGTGGGTACAAGTACAAATTCAACAGAACTCTATCCTGTCAATGCAATAGTAAAAGTATGGGTTGCAGGGGTATTCAAAAGTGCATGATGACGAAATATCGCTTTTGCCAGCGTTACAAGGTGTTGTTTTGCTCTGAATGTAGATACCGTATCTCCCATTAAAAACGAAAGAAACAACTATAAAATTTTTTGGTATAAATGTAAAATATTACGCAGGACAAAAACAATTGGACGACCAGGGCGTCGATCCCTGTGCCTCCCGCATGCTAAGCGGGCGCTCTACCATTTGAGCTAGACGCCCTTGCATAAGTTATACTTTATCATTTATAAATATACATAAATTATTTATTGCGTTAGTTGAAAGTCAAAATGAATATTCGTTGCAAATATTTCCAATACAGTGAGCAGTAGCAAGTGTTTACATTCAATAATTGGCATCGTTTGAAAAGCATAGCAAATGCTTCGATTGCGAAACGCAAAAACGTGTTTGCTTGCTCTTCGATACTATTTTTTACTGTGCAAAGGTATCTAACAGCTCGGTGGCCGCCATAGAACCGCAATAAAAATTTCTCATTGGCTGCACTCAAAACGAATTGATCATTTCCGGAATATGGTTTTGAACTGAAATGGAATTTTTTTTGGACATTACCCTCTTTTTCATGATTGTAAGTAAAAGTATCATTAACTAGAACAATCCGCTATCATGTTAAATGCATTGTTTCCTTCTTCAGCAAACCAGATTTAGGTGACAAATTCATATGCAGTATTTCGAAGTCGTTTTTAATTCACGCATTTGAGAATGATTAGGAGTTTCGTTCTACTTTTAATCATGATTGAATGCTGCTTAAGCAGAGCATTTTGAGGCATATCCAGTTTCTTCTAATTAAAATCTTTATAAAAGAACAAATTCATTGGTATGTCTTTTGCTATTTATTTCACTTGTATTATTTCAGTGTCCCTTTAGGAAGAGCGCCAAACTAGCAATTGAAAGTATATGAATCGATACAATTGTTGTAGATTAATCAGATCAGAAGTTATTCTAATAGTAAATATGTTACACAGACGCAATAACCTGTAGTGCATCGCAAATTTAATTCAGTAAGACATGACTTAAAAAGTTGCCGAAAAAAGTTAATCTTCTTTGCAGATAAAATTGCTCAATGTTCCATTTCGTGAAAAAATTGAATAAAAAGACATGTATGGTACTATTTTCAATGAATTACTCCACCACTACTAAATACAGGAGTTTCTCTTATAAAAATATATAATCTATTTCATTTTCTCAAAATTATGAAACATCCATGCATGCTGGAGAAAAGCCGAAAGCATATTCAAATCAACCATATATTTTTTGACACACTGAAAACAAACACATGAAAAATGAAAAATAAGTTCAATTTAGCAGATAAGATATAGCGATATCCGTTCATACAGCATAAAACAGTATGTGTTTGAGATAACACTAACTTAATGCATAAGCATTCCATTAAAACACTTTTCATCAATGACAGCACAAAAAGTAAGTTAGTAAGAGAATAACACTACGACTTTCCATCTGATGCAGAACAACATATAGAATTAAGAAATGAAAACAAGACGTTTCAAAATTTTTCATACCGATAGCATTACGGGGCAACTATTCAGAACTTGACATATCTTTAATTTCAATGATTTTCGGTTACTTGCCTAGTTATTAGAAAGGTAAGCATAAAATATGTCAGTTCTACATCTTTGATGAGACACTCAAAAATGTACCACTGATCAAGTTTAGGAATTTTAATAACAAATTAACTTTAAATTGCTGCAGATGTAAAATAATAGATATGGTAAAATACTAATATGAATTATGGCATGCATCTGTATCACAAAAAAGCATACGTCAAAAAACTTTTCCCATTGAGAGGTAATAAGCCGTTCCTCGCTACCAAAAATTCTGATACAGAAAAAATAATTATAAAATGTTTAAGAAACAACAGAGTTTCCTAAAAGAAGAACGATAGATAGTCACGCACCAGTTTTCAACAGTTTCATAAAACCAAAATTTTCGTTACTTTTCAAAAAGCAATAATGGCAAAATAATATAAAAAAGTTAAGAAGAGAATAAGATACAACTATGGTCAATGAAGATAGTAGTTTGATAAACATAAATATACAAATGAGTATACAAAGTTTTACCTTTCCAAGAAAGAAAATGATTCATGAAATACAGCTCGGGGACGAAATATTTGCTCAACCTTATCTAATTTGGTTACTACGCATATTATTGGACACTTTCCCGATAAAATATCACAAGCAGCTGCATAATGAGAATAAAAAAACACAAAAATAACAAATTTTTGCCTTACCAACATTTTTTATTTTACCTCGGTATATAATTTTAAGTATTAGGCAAAAAAAAGTTATATGATCAGCAATAGCTGAAAAGATTTGCTCCGAAGATATTGTGAGAAATGACATTTTTAACCTTCATAGCGTCTTTGACTACACTCTGGTCCAACTGACACCACATTTCCTCTTTCGAGATTATAAAAAGTATCAGATTGATGAGACGCAGAGCTTAAAATCCCGGAAGATGAATATAACATTCGCGACGGAGAACAAAATCGGATACAAACTTCGTATAACCACTTCGATAAGTTGAAAAAAGATGTCAAATTAGAAGCATCATATAAGAGTAGAATACCTGTACAAAATATAAAAAGTTTCAGGCTTACACCATTTTTAATACAAAAACTGTAACTCAGTATTGATGTACACATCGGGTGATAATTTCTCTTTACCATCAAATGATTCAAAAAAAAGACTTCTGACGGTCGAATAAGAGCTTGTCCCGCCAACATCCCAAAATTCAACTGGGACAGTAACAACAGGTGGAACAGCAATATCGCTTGTTGGGCTCTCATTAAATTGCCACACCACGGCAAATATGCTGCAACCACAAGTCCATTTGTAAGGTCGCATTGATACTCTTGGATTCTTATTTTGGCAATTTGATCCCAAAAAATCAGTAATATCTTTAGTCTTGAAACGCTTTGACGAATAATTCACACTCATCCGTGCAGCTGATGGAGCACTGAAATTGTCAGGGTGAAGGTGTGCCCTCTGTGGCAAACACAACACAAAAACTGTTACTAGCAAAAATATTTCACAGACTAGTATCCATATTTGCTGTACTTACATTATCACATAATTCCCCTTGATCAGTTTCTTCTAGGCGAATTGGTGCATCAGATGTAGAGTTGTAGCCAATGATTGCACGATCAAAACCACAATTACTCCTCGCTATATATTGACTTTCTGATGAACGAGAATCTGCTGCAAGATTAATTGGGGCGTAGCTAAAGGGAGCAGGCAATGAACATTTTCCAATGTAGAGTCACTGAGCAGATGAGTCAAATCTCTATTGCATGCATACCTGCTCTCACCGTACCGTTGTTCGGAAATGCTGTAACCAGATGTACTGGGACGATACGAACCTAAAACAGTGCTGACAGATGCACCCTGATTTGCAATATTGCAGGGCAAAACAAAATTTTCCAATGGCGCCTCGCATAGAAAACGGAGAAAAGAAGTTTTCCCTACCGCTGCATCCCCAAGGACCAAGATTTTCAATGGTGAAAGCTGAGAAACCATTCTGAAGCAATTTTCTAGCTGTCTGCACTGTCATGCTGAAGGAAAGATTATGGAGGGCACATAATCGAGTTATAAGATAAAAAACCAATGCATATTGAACCGGATCAGTTTTTTACAATGTTCTTACAAACTTGCGAAAATCACCTTTTGTAGTACAGATCAAAAAGAAAAAATGTGCTCTGAATTGCACCTCCTCATGTGGGTCCACTTCGAAAGAAAGCCAATAAATGTTGTATCATTAAAATTTTGAAACGGTTCAAACGGAAAGTTTCTGCATATATGGTTTATGAAATAAACTGTTCTATTTTTTGAATATGAAAAATAACTGAACTGATGAGATGTTTGGATTTAAAAGGGAAATATAAAACATTTGCTCGGTTACAACTGGGGTACCATATCAGCCTTCTCTAACGGGTTGGACTAACGTGCCGATTAATTTTACAGCTAAAAGAATTATTTTTGCAAGTATAACTTTTTGGATATACTTCCTCTAGTAGGAAAAGTGCCATACAACGACAGAATTGTATTGTCCACAGTTACATAGCCGGGTGCATTATTGCACCCAATATCTAACGCTGGTAGTAGAGATATACCATTCTACTATTTTATACTGCTAGAAGATTGTTTTTATCTACCTGCTTTGATAGATTAAGTAGAATTTTTGTCGATAAATATCTTCTAAAATTCTTAACATTCACAAAAGAGAAATACTGACAAAGAAAGCCATTTTGGGGGAACGTGTTTTCTTGGCTAGTGCATTCCTTTAAGGTATGATACCATTCGTTTTTCCGGTGGATGTTTTTCATGTTCAAATTATGTGAGCGAACTGTCTCAAGTTTTTCTCAGGCTTAGCTACTCAATAATGCAGATAAGATAAAGCTATCTGCTCATTCATAGCAGTCATTGTGATAGATTAAATTTATGTCTTTTGTATAGCTGATTGATTTGCTAGCCTTGCATCACCTATCCTGACAGCCAGTACATTCAAAAATTGTAGAAACTTTTATGAAGCAAGAATGAAAACCATTTTCGAGTAGAATTTTATTTGTTAACCGAGTTTCTATAATATGAAAAAGTTGTCGTACGTTGCGACATAGGCCTTTCTATTTCATATCCAGAAGAGTGATACGCCTAGCTTGCTATTAGTCTTCCATCATGATGGAAAATCTTTTCTGTATCCACCTATGAAAAATTTTTCATTTGGCTTTAGCATAATAAATTTGTGCAGTCTTGAAGTAGAATGCTATGTACAGCCGCATAGCTGAAATAAAATAGTAACGAGTTGCAATGGCTTGTTTCCAACCAACGTGCTGTGATACATACCTATAACCGATTTGTTGACAGCATTTGCTTCATTTTATTAGGCAATTATTGAATGATAAAAAGAGAAGACTGTTTGTTCTCCAGCTGTTGGCTACACAGTAGTGTAAAACTTGTTAAAATTGTTGCAACCAGAACAGTCACCCCTGCTTACTGCCACAGAATGAAGTGATGGATGGAAGAATATTTTGATAGATTGTAAAACACCACATAACAGTTTTAAAGAAGCTTGCTTCAATACATGTTGAAATCAATAATTTATTTCATACTGAAATATCTGCTTTTATAAAGAATGATAAACAAGTGCACGGCTTATTACTCTCCCTTGAATACCGTTGACAAAAGGAG